CTTCCCAAGGCAGGGCATTGCCTCTCAGTCCCAGTTAAGTCAAGGCCTGCTCCTCCAGAAAGGGAAATACTCAGTGAACTCGACCATTCCTTTACCTTTTGGAGCTCTGCCCACATTAGCTCATGGGGCAGATGGGGAATTCACATTATTCTTCCATTTATGGACTCCACATGGATGTGACCCATCTCAACAAATACGGAGATGTGCCCTGGGCTGGGCAGGATGTTTCAGGAAAAGTCTGTCCTAGTCTTTTTTTCAGCCCATATGCTTCCATTGCAATGTAACACTGGCCTCTTTCTAAGGTTGTGGAGGCCAGCAGAGAACCATCATCAGAAAACCCAGCTTCTCCCTATGGAATTGTTCTTCTACCTGCCTGCTCCTCAGGTAGCTGGATGTTGTTATTCCAATAACTGTAGGTTCTTCAACTGATGTGAGGCCCAGTGGTTTCCAAGAAAGCCAAGACACAAACCAGATGGAGCCCTCTCCAGATCTGCAGTTTGGGTCAGCAGTGAGAGCTGCAAAAGCATGGATCCCTGAGCAGTTGCCTGAAGCAGATGTTTGAGCATGGATCTGGAGCCACATGGGCCAAGCTGCTGCTGGAGCTGCTGCTCTGATGCACGGCATGAGCCAGCACCTCTGTGGAGCTGAATGTAAAATCTCTCTTTGCCAGAAACACTACAGGGAAAATATTTGCTCTAGCTGCTCTTGCTGCCCAGAGGCAGTGCCACAGGGAGGGCACTGCAGACATCTGGCATGGCAGACGGTGATGGCAGTGATATACTGGGAAGGGCACCCAACCAAGAGCAGAGGAGGAAAGGACCTCAGCTGTGGCAGTAGGAGGGGTAGGCATGAACGACTTCAGGAAATTCAGCATCCTGGATGAGTGGGCAGCTGGGCTGGATGACTGTAATGATCTTTTCAGGTCTTAAAATTTATTAGTCTAGCTTTTAGCTCTGGGTAGCCAAAGGCAGTTGCTTCTCGAGGAAGATTCATCTCCAGCACAGGCATTCAGTCTGCTTATTCTCTCTTGCCTGTCACATCTCCTTCAGCTGTAACTCACTTGTCAGCCTCTCAGATAGGAGCAGGGTTGCTGCCTCTCTGCAGGACTTCAGATGTGAGATAAATCCCTTTGCATCCCAATGCCACAGGAATGCTTTCCTAGACCTCTGACATCCCTGTTAAAAGATGACTGCTCAAAGAATTCGAGGCACAGCTCTTCAGGCCCTTTGGTGTGCTTTCAGCGGGGCAGGGCAGGGTTGGGCTGCTGGCTGACGGTTCAGGGAAGCCTGCCTCCGGGCCCTTGTGGATTTTAACCTACAAATCTCAGGAATTAAGCTTGCAATTTTCCTTTTGCTCTTTTTATAATGATCTAATATGTTGTTTTCCTACAGAGGTCAGCCAAACTTTTATAATTTAGACCTTGAAGGATTTGCAGATGATGGCAGCCTTAGGAAAAAAAATCTCAAAAACTTCTGCTTAGCTAATGTCTGTGCAATCAGCTCAAGTCAGGTAGTGTTAGACCATACACAAATCCACGAAGAAATTAACAACAACAATTAAACAGCAAGAGCAGTGAATATGAGAAGGGACACTGAACAAGGGACAAGGACCTTTGCAGGTTAAAGATTAAAATGGCAAATGCACATGTCTTGTCATATGATTCTGTCCCTTGTTCCTTACATGGTCTGCCTGGCCTTACCTATTAAGTTTATCAATACGTACTCACCAACAGTACATACTCTAGCTAGCAGTAGAATATATCTAGAAACTGACTTAATAACATGCATCTGTCATAAAACCCATGTTGTGTTCAGTTCTTCAGTTATAGCTTTGCCTTTTTAATAATACTTCCAAAGCAAGTATATGCTTGGCTTTCCCCATGTAATTCCAGAGCTACATTATTTTATTTCATTTTATCCCATCTCCTGCCTTAGGTTTTACGTTCTTCACTGAAACGTACACTACCATAATTCAAACTTGGTCTCCTAAAAGTTCCCTATGCAGTACAGGGGGACCTTCTTCTCTTTCATCTTTCACAATCCAGTCTGCAGCTGCCAGCAGCCCTGCAGGGAAGTTGGATGTCACTGGCTGCGTTGTCAGTGCTGTCTCTTCAAGGGGCTCTGTAAGGTCACCACCATATTTATAAGCACAGAGGAAAAGACTTTTCTTTTTCTGGTATTCATTTTTTCATCTTTGAATTACATCTTTGTCCTTGAAAGAAGGCCTGCTGCAAGAAACATCAAGATGCTCTGCTGATGAATCTTTAAGATTCATTTTACATTCCTGTGAAGATCTTAATTTATTAGAAAAATGGAGCTTATTTTCTTCTTCAGCTAAGATTTCTTTATCACAATGTTTTCTAGTCAGTGACTGAAAAATAGCTCTTGGGGCTGTATAATTTGGGCTTCTGCAAGCCTGCTAGTTCTTGTGTTTTTAAGACAATGCCTTGGTTTGGGAATGAGAAATAAAGTGGTTTTCTTCAGAGACAGATTTTGAATATGCAGGCACATATTTTGAGGAAAATTATCCCCATGGTGGATACCTACAGAAGGAAAAGAATTTTCAGTAAAGATATTAAAGTGAAAATACATCTGGATTAGAAATAAGACATGTTTTACCATTTTTCTTTCTTTCTTTCAAAAAGCATAAATTGATTTTTGAAAAGAAGTCCAAAAGGTTATGGTTGCTTCTGCATGGCTCATCATACTGTTTCATGAAGATGCCTCCTTTTCCAAGTGGGTACTTTGTATCAAACAGAAGAAGCAAAAATGATAGAGATGTGACCAAACAAGGTTGTGTGGCTTATGCTGTACAGGAAACCAGAGCAAATGATTGCTGTGTTCCCTTCTGGCCTTCAGATCTTTTTGTCAGTTTCATAAAAAGTTCCACTTTTCCCTCCCATGATCCTGCCAAACAACATCGCATCACCCTGATTTCAGAATTATTCTGTGTTAGAAATGGTGTGTGTGTGATGATGCCTGGCTTTGGGACTTGTCATCACGTGAAAGAACAGTAGTCAACCCTACAGCTCTTTACAACACAGTGTGCATGGCCACATCTTCCTTTTCCCCTGATCTCCACAGGGAACACACCTGACACGAACCACCACCAAGATCCATGTCCTGCTAAACCAATAGAAAGGGTCTCCATTGGCTTAAGTGGGAGTAGATGGAAGTTTTGTGTGCCCACGTTCCCTCTCCTGGTTCAATACGTGGAGCCACAGAGCTGTAGATTCTGCCTTATCCTGTTCATTGTAGCACTCATGCTTGGCTCTCAGCTGTCCTCTCTCCATCCCATTTTTGTTGGAGGACTCCACTGTGATGGGTTGGACATAAACTCTTTTCTTCCTCTGGCACTTGATATTGAATTTAGGCAGCTGAGAAAACCATGTCATGTTTGCTGTTGCTCTCTGTCTCAGTGAACTTGCAGTCTAGAGAAGGTAGGGATAGACTGAGAAAGCCATTGCCCTTAAGCCTGTCCTCAGGCTTTCTGCTGTGTTATACAAAAGATGACAATTATCCTCGCTGGCTTTGGAAAAGAAGCTAGATAAAATGCAGAGATTATGAAGGGAAGCAGTCATATTACAACAATTCTGGGCAATGAAATAATAGTTGTGGGTGGAGTGAAAGGATGGTATGGTGTCATCCAAATGTGCACTGGTGCCAGTGTGAGTCTTTCCAACCACAGTCAAAAGAACTGTGTGCAGCCCTTTGTTTGCTTTTACACTGTGATATAAAAGGTGAAATCTTCCAAAAACTGAAGTGACCAGGATGCCATTAGTGTTATTTTACACAGGATTTCAGGGGAGATGGCTTCAGGTGTTCATGCACAGGATTTGGACTAAGGTTCTTTATCAAATCTAGTTCGTTTTTTGGTGAAGTAATTGGGGGTGTTGCAGCTTGAATGGAGCAGAGCTCTTTACTGAGGGCTTCACATTTCATCTTTTCTCACTAGGACTTCAGGAACTAACAGAGTGTTAACAAAGGAGTGAGAATCACATTTTTCTGCACATTTTGTTTTTATAATTGTAATATTATAGTGCTGTTTACTCAACCCATATAAACTCAGTGCTCTTGGCAAATACTTACAATGTGTGTGCTCTGAATTTATTCTTTGTAAAGCAGACTTTGCACGCCACAGATGAAAACGCTCCTGCCTTTATTTAAATAGGAAATAAAAGGGATTGCATTACTCTACTTCTTTGCAAGCTGAAAAAAAAAGGCATTGTCCTCTTTCAGAGTTCAGATTTCATTTTCTTCAAATGAAGTTGCAGTGGTTAGATTTACAAAACCTCTATTATTTTTTTTCACAGATCTGCAAATTTCCTATCTTTAAAATGTTTGCAGAGTCAAAAAGGAAACAATAGAAACACAAATCCTCAAGCTGGCATGAAAAATGGCAAGAACAAGATTTGAACACTTCTTAATACCAGTATAGCTATGAGATTAATTAAAAAAATTTTTCCTGAAAATTCTGGACTTTATTTATGAGTTCTAATCAGAGTGTAAAGTAGAGAAGACATTTCTAAAGGTTTTCTTAGGCTGTTTAAAGCTACATCTGAAGGCATAGACATATAATAAGAACATATAGACCAAACTACTATTGTGTTTTACATTTTGGCATTTTTGCAAACTTCTGTAATTATGTCTTTTTAGTACATTAAAACAAACAGCAAGGAAATAGAAAATATTTCTTCCACAGCTGTGTTTACAACCTTAAATGTGTTTTTTTTCCTCAACCAAGCAACCAGTCTGAGATAAGAGGTTTCCCTGCTGTGTAACACAGCATAATCAGATGCATACACAGCACCTACCTGGAGTATTACAACAGACAATAGTAGTGAAAAATTAAAGAAATAGAATGGAAAAGTCAATAGCTTTTTCCTGTGAGACACATTTGACACAGCAATAGACATACTTTTAAAACATATGAATGTACATAAGATGTTGGAGAATTTCTTTGCAATTCTGCTCTGAAAAAAAGAGAATATTCAAACATTCTTGAAGAAATCAAAATTTTAATATAAAAATTCTAAAACAAATACCCATTTTACCACAATGTGAATCATAATATTCCATTTTCTTTACTACTTTGGGGAGCATATTTTACAGAAATGATAGCCTAATTCCTAGTAAATGAAATTAGCTATTTCTAGTAAAATGAAAATATTTTGTCAAAATTGAAAATATCTGTTTTTCAGTTGAAATCAGCAGCACCTTCAGAGATTTCCTGGAGAGTTTTAATCTGCTTGAATATCTGTTGAGAAAAGAAAATGAAATTTTTTTACCGCCATTTCTGTAGAATAAATAAGTTGCAAATTCACTGCAGAAAAGTATCTTTCCCTTTAAATTATCAGTATTGCTTTCTGATTTTTAGCTGTTGCTAGTATGATGTAGCCATAAAGTAATTTTTAAAAAAATTCAGACAATTTTATGTGTTGATGTGATGTAACCACTTTTCGAAAAGTTCAGACATTTTTTTTAAGTAGGATTTTATTTCACCAGAAAGTTTTATGGAAGTTTTGAAAATTTACTTTGAATCATCACTCAGTAATTCTTCCAAATGCTGTAGGAATCAGAAATTCTGGCAAAATTTTTTGGGTCATGTGAAACATACATTTTTCCTGACTCAAATGAAATGTTTTATTTCAACTTCAAGTGTTTCTTCAGTTCTTTTGTTTTGTATACAGGAAATGAAAAAAAAATTGTAATCACAGAATGAAAATGTGCTGTAAAACATCAACATGGACTTTTCAGGCTTCCATACTATTTTGTCTTTTTTTTTTTTTTTTCCCTCAGTATGGACAGCTGAAGATAAAAAACATCAAAAATCTAGTGATGGAATATTTCTGCCTAATCAAATTTACAGTTTTTGTTTAAAAAAAACCACCTTGGCTGAAAAAAAGTGATCAGAACCTACTTTGTTGTTTAAATTGAGTGCTGGGAAATGAAGCGTAAGCCCTGAGAGCAGACAGGCACTTTGAAAAGGAGGGTCATGATGTTGATAAGGGGACTGGAACACCCCCCCATGAAGACAGGCTGAGAAAGTTGGGGCTGTTCAGCCTGGAAATGAGAAGGTTGTGCAGAGAGCTCACAGAAACCTTCCAGCATCTGAAGGGGCCTCACAGGGAAGCCAGAGAGGGACTCTGTCAGGAACTCTAGTGACAAGGAGTAATGGCTCAAACTGAAAGAAGGGACATTTAGTTTAGATATGGGGAAGGAATTCTTTACTGTGAGGGTGGTGAGACACTGGAGCAGGTTGCCCAGAGAAGCTCTGGCTGCCCCATCCATGGAGGTGTTCAAGGCCAGGTCGGAGGCAGCTTTGAGCAACCTGGTCTAGTGAAAGGTGTCCCTGTCCATGGCAGGGGGATTGGAACTAAATGGTCTTTAAGGTACTTCTAACCCAAGCCATTCTATGATTCTATGATTCTATGATTCTATGATTCTGTGATTCTAACAGTTCTTCTCAGCAGCTGAAATTTTACGTGATCTTTGTCTTGTTTGAAGGTTCTGCCCACGAACTTTGGGTATAACCTGGTCAGTAATCTTCATTAACATGGTATTTGCAGCCTGCCTTATTTTAATCGCATAAAATCCAGGTTTCAAATCGAGGCCAGTGCCTTCAGCTTCCATTGCTGACATGAAGAAGGATTGGATGTGTCTCAAGGTGGGATCACTCTCTCCTAGGGGTGATTATGGGACAGCAGTGGGGATGAAACCCTGAACTTCTACCAATAATATGGTCACACTCAAGTTTTTAGGAAACAAGTGGATGCTAATGTAAGCAAATATAACCTGTCAGGAACACTTTCCAGATCATCTATAATACAGTCTGAATGTTTAGCACTGTATGGGCATATAATCCAGAATAATCACCAAGAACCAGCAAATAAAGGTGGTTTTGTTCTGTGTGCACATATTCCATGAGTTTAATGTTTGACTCTTCAAACTCTTTGTTAAACCTATCCTCTGGCATGAGTGCCACTCCAAGCACTATGGATAGGTAGTCAATCACAGGGACAAGTGTAGTGTGGTCTCAGGAGAATCTGAAGTCAGAATACTCCCAACAGCAATGACACAACCCTTAATAATGAAGATAATTAAACCTCAGACACCATAGTCTAAGCAAATGTCATGGCAAATTCATTAGCATTAGCAAATCATGTCAAAAGTGTTTTGGAGCCAGGCTATTCCCACTGGTGCCAGGGGAGCTTCATCATGGCCTTCTCCAGTAGCCAAGTCAGGTGGGCACCCAGCTTCTGCAAATTCTCAGCTTATTGTCATGGGTTCTAGTTTAGTCATTGAATAAGGTATGGCTGAGAGAAACCAGATGAAAGTTTGTGTCTGTGCTGCAGTAGATGAAGCTGGCTGCTTACTCTTGCAGCATGTTGTTTCATCCTTTACTACATTCTTCACAGCACCTGGCTTTAAATAGGACTTTGAGATACATTTAGAAAGAGTTTTGGTTATGAGAGAGCTTAGCTCTCAAATTCAGTGTCACAAACTTAATATGCAGGCTATTCCTTAAACTTGGAAGATGTGTGTTTAGCTCAGTCAGTTCCCATCCCTGGTGGGCTGGCCTTGTCCAGCATCTCATTACTCATACTGCTGCTCAATCACTTCGTCTACCCAGAAGAAATAGGAAGAGAAAAAGAGCAAGAGATCTCCCAGTGTGATATAAAGGCATTGGTGAAGAAAAGAGGAAAAAACAGCAAGCAAAGCAGAGGCAACCACTCACCACCTCCCATGGGCAGACCAATGTCCAGACACGTGCTGAACTTGGCCAACTTGGAAACCTGCTCTGCATCCCTCCTTCTTCTGCTGCCTCAGGTTTTATTGCTGAGCATGATGTTACAGGGTAAAGAAGTGAACAGCTGCAAAACACTGATCCTTCCTCAAAGGATGTGTGAATTTCTCAGCACTTGTAACCATTAAAAAATAGATCTAGGGATAGATTTGTCCTACCTTCGATGCCTAGAGAGTCCTTTCTTTAGGATGCTATTTGAGTCATGGGATGTGAGTTTCCTTAAGGAGGATAACCAGATAACAAGCATTTTGTTTTTCTTTCAAATGAAAAATGACTGTTTACTTACACAAACAATGCAACGAACCTTTCTATTCCCTTTCAGAAGGAACCTGGAGTTATAACTTGTTAAAAACCTCTTTCTGCAACACAAAGCACTGTTCTGCTCACTGAGCTATTTAGAGAGGAAATTAGCACAACTTCTTAAATCTACTGGATTAAAAAGTGATGTGGCTGGCAAACACGGTTTCCCTTTTTAGCTTCTTCAGCGTTTCTGTCATAATAAACATTGTTCCCCAGTTGTGGCACCCTTTCCTCTCACAAATTTTTGTGTGGTTCTGGAACACACTCTGATAGGATTCCCTTTCATTTCTGACACCGTTATGTCATTTTATGGATTTGCACTGACAGCATTTCATTTTGACATCATTATAGCATCTCAACTTTCTACACTGAGCACACCAAGAGGCTTTTGTGATGATGCTATACTAAGAAGAGTTAGAATAAATAGGTTATTAACATGATTACAAATAACCTTGCTAAAGATTAATTATTATGCTTGAGCATGAAAATGTTTTCTTGCTTAAATTTTCAGATGCTGCAAAATTTCATATTTTCTCTTTTACAACTGTTCAAGAGATTCAAGTTATAGGTAAAGCTACCTTGCAACTGAAGAATGCATAGCCTGGTGAGTTCACCAGGCTGTTATAGCTGTTACAGCTAGCAAAAATGGACACTGCTCTCCCCAGGAGTCAGGAGCCATTCATCATCTTTGGCTCCATGGAAGTCAGGTGCCTGAGCTGGGCAGCAAGGTGCCCAAGTGTCTCAATTCCCACCACAGACAGCAGGAGGAACCAGAGGGGGTTTGACCTGTCAGTGTTAGACCAGCTTCTTAAGGTGTGATAGGATTTTGCTGGGACCATGGTGGTACCAGATGCAGAGGGAGCTTGGAGAAGTGAAAGGTGTCTCTGCCTATGGCAGGGCAGTTGGAACTAGGTAATCTTTAAGATTCCTTCCAACCTAAACCATTCTATGATTCTGTGAATTAGCATCTCTGCTTTAATTAAAAAAAAAAAAAATTAAACTTAGGAGAGTCTAGTTCTATCCAAAGGGGTGAAAGAAAAAGGAAACTGCAGAAAAATACCATGACAGAAAACAAACAAAAAAGGAAGAACCCCTAATCTCCAACACATCTCTTCTTATGCCTCAGTGCTGTGTCTTAGGGATTCATGGCTGCACAAGCTAGGGTGTGCAAAGGAATCCCAAGGGACAAGCCTAAGACAGATGCCTTTCTGAGCCCTCTGTGAGTAGAGGGAATCCATGGTGGCAGATGTGCTCTTCAAGTGACATTCATGTAGGCCAGAAGTGCTGCCACCCCAGGATCTGGCATCTCCCTGGGTGCCATGGCTGGTGTCTCTTCCTGGTTCCATGAGTCGAGAAACATCTCTCATCCAGGTAGCTGAGCTCGAAAGATGAAGATTAAGATGCAGGCTGAAATGCAGATTAAGCTTTGTATGGGAGCCCGAGACAAAAGGAGTGCAAACCTTTGGGATAACAAAGGCCATGAAGAGTCATGGTGAATGGACACTGAGAGACACTTCAGGAGCCGGGAACAGCTGACCTTTTGGATAACAGAGGACATGAAGACAGGTGAAGGCTCCTTTGTTGAGGGTCCTCCTCCAACACTCCTCTGGCTCTGGCAGATTACTGTGCTGTGAATAAATGGAACTAGACATGTGAGACTGCCCTGGGAAAACTAGAGCCAAACTGCTGACTGTGTGAGTGCAGTGTGGAGCGAATCAAGCCGGGCTTCCGTCGGCACACTGGAGCTGCCTTCTCTGAAGGACCTTTGGACCCAGCAGTCCCAGCAGTCCCAGTCTCTGGTCTCGGGAATGTGACTGGTGGAGGGTCTCAGAATGGATGTTTAGACTGGGTAGTTTCCTTAACACCTGAACCCTGCTGCAAAGCCTCCACCTGCACCTGAGTGTTCCCAGACTTGGATTTGCTCCAAGCAAAAAAAGATATACAAACTCATGCACAATTACATTGAAAGTTATAGAATATTTAAATAGCAGCAGAACCAAATACAGCAAAACTTAATTTATCAATATGTATCATATTCAGAAAGTCTTCATTCATGTCCCTTCTGGAAGTGTGTTCTAACATAGGCTCTGATTACATAATAAACTACTATTTTTTAAAATAATAAATTAACATTTGTGTTGGCGAGGATA